GAATCAACTGATAAAACATAATAAAACTATTTTATCCTAAAAAATCGATAATTTTTGCCTACTAAATAAAGGAAATAAAAATCAAGGATCTGTTTAAACTGTGAAATATATTATCAGAACAATAATTTTGTCAAAAAAACAAACTAGCTGAAGACTTTTCAAAAACTAGGAAGAACTGTAAAGAGATAATGCTGTAGTTTAAGTCTCATCATTTTTAAGCCTTCATCATCTCACCTGAGATAAAGGAGATAAAAACAAAACAGTTCTCGTGGAGATCAAGTATTGACTTCATTTATTTGTTTGGAAAAAATATAATTATTGGTGCGAAAGGACACCAAAATATAGATGCGCCACAAATTGTGAAGAGACAGAAAAAGCCGTGAGTATAATTAAAACAGTAGATAGAAATTACCATATGGGAGTGAAATAACAGTAATAATAGTTGGAGAAACAGTTCAATTAAGCTAGGCAAAATCAAAAACAATACTTTCAAATAAACAGTTAACTTTTACTTATATGAAGAAAATGCGATCAAAGTTACAGAAGGACCACCAGTAGTTTTTATTCTAAGCCGTTTCTGTTAACTACTTAAGCCATTGAGTTGTAAAACTCTTAAATCCTACCAGGCAGTTATAAAAGACCAACAGAAGGAGTAAAGAACATGCCATACCTTCAGACAAGGATTGCCAACTGATTAAGTACGGATCACATGTTTTGAGAATCGTAACAGAATAAGACAAAATCATCTGCATACTCGGGGTGGAAAAGTCTTTCTCCAAGTAACAGATCCTAGCCATCATTACTCACATCCATCAGAGCTGTATCCACAACGTCATTGATGGACAAATTGGAGAGAAATGGTGAAATTAGGCATCTCTGCCTAACCTCATTGCTTGAATGAAACAATAGATAAAAGTGGTTGTGGGCCTTTTTTCTGCCCGAGGTGTTTGTATGTAGGGCCAATAAGATGTTAATAAACTCCTCGTGCACACCCTTCTCCAAAAAAATTTTCAGAACGAACCGAAGGTGGCCCTGGTACCAGGAAATACAAGTATTGTTGGTCTGTGATGAGTGTGGTGGCGTCTAACACTTGGCGGGAGTTAATATATGGTAATTATATCCGTAGCCAAAACAAAAACCCTCCTGCTTCTCGCGAGTCAAACCTTTACGGGTTTCGAATAACCTACGAAGTATGACAGGAGCCAATAATTTGGATACAATCGGTGTTAGGTTTATTCCTCTGTAGTTGTTAGTTAGATGACACGAACAACTATTGGCCAATTCCATGATATTTTGACACTCTCTAATTGCCTAACGGTTATGGGTGACTCAGTCAGTCCCACAGTCAGAAGGTTGCTACCATCTTTAAAAAAGGCCTGGCGATTAGTGGCGAGGAGATCCTTGCGAACTTCTACTTCACTAAGTGGATCAGTTGCTACCAGTCATGGAGGACAGAAGCAGACCAGCTGAGCCATCCCTCGTAAAACTCAGCCCATCATCCAAGACATCGGTGGATATTACTAACTGGTGTCCCATCAGCTTCATGTACTGTTCCACTGAAACGAAACTGCTTGCTGTGTTAAACGAGTTTCCTGAAGTCGCTAGATGCAGCTGCCGCTTCCAACTTGTTAGCACTCTCCAACAACTAGGTTCTCGATCCTCACGCAAAATTCCTAATTCGACTACTTAACAGTCTTTTTTATTGTCAAACTCACAGTTACCTAGAACAGACTGACGTGCCGCAACAAGTTGTAAGGGACGTTTATAAACCCACGTTTAACGAAGCCGCAAGTGACTTTGGTCGCCATTTTCATGGCGTTGTGCAGTCGTAGCTAGCGCTCATTTATGCTTTCTTTTGGCTCGATGGCTAGCCTTGATTGAAGCAACAGAAGCTATAACCAATTTACTGAAATCAACCCGTTTAAGATGATGAATCTGTTGGCCACTGAAACGTAAGATAAGAGTAGCGCAAACAAAAGGCGTTATTATAGTCCAGATAAGTATCCTAAAAGAAGCGACAGTCTTTTACTTAACCAAACTAGCGGTTACAGTCATTATTTATTTTGTATGTGGGTGGAGATACGGCTAGAACGAAAAAGTTGAAATAAGTGGCTTTCCGAGACGGTCACTTCCTGATTCATTCACCTAGAGGTGTAGTCCGTTCGGCAGTGATATAATGTCAGGAGCTGCAATCCTTTGGTAACGGGTGACCATTTGTTCAAAGTTAACGTGTATCATTGGTCTAGAATCAGGATTTTCATATTCCCCTTGTTGGATCATCTGTTTCCACTAGCATGGTTAAAGCACCGGATATTCTCTTTCCTTCCTCCTAATTTCGTAAACAACAACCACGGCACAGGTATAGGACTTTTCCGACATTGGCTATATACGCGTAGTCATGTGTGAGCATTTCGACGGCGGAGCGAACTCTTCTAATTTTCAACCGTACCTAAGGCATTTGGGGCTGAATTTAGTTAAGTAACAATTTAATATCATGGAGTAATCGATAAGTGTTTTGTATTTTATCCGTTTCTTAACAGCTTCAACCTTGTCGAAAGCGCGATAAATAATACAGATTGCAGCGAATTATGGTCACGCGATATCAAGAATTAAGTAAATTGGTATATGGGAACAGCCGGATTCCGAAAATGTAGTTGCTAAGTTGCTGAGGAACATCAGTTTCGACGGTTGGCAGAGTTATGAGGTAATTACTGTTGAACTATCATAAACAAGGGCAAAATGATTGTCTAAAGTCTTATAGTTTTTAATGATATGCTAAGTTAGTTTGTGATGTAAGCTGTCTTCTCATCAAACAATTTCCAAAAAACTTAATCTGAAAATACTAGAGGTAAAATAAAAATCTTAACATAAATGACCTATATATTCTTTCTCTCCCCGTGTTTCTCCTTATATATATATACAGGCATATATACATATAAGCAGTTATACGACCTACATTGTTAGTCGATCCTTTTCCAAGCTCATGTACACTTGGAAATATGCTATAATGGAATTATTTCTCAAATAATTGGAAATTTGGAATATGGATTTCAGAATATTAAAGACAAACATTCAATTAGACAGTTGGGTTCATACTAAAAACAGGAAGCTGACTCGGAAACTCATAATCTAATTACTGTCTATTTAGAAAAATAATATGTATACAGTTATTGTAAACGGATTTATATAGAAATGAACATTGACAAGACTGAACGTTGAAATGAAAACGAATGAATTATTTCATTAACACAACTCACATAAAGCAAGGGTCTGAAAAGATTATACTGATTATATGTGATGAGTTTTTTGATCATAGATGAAAATGTTTTATGGATTAAAGTTAACTTGTCATTGCAGAAATATAGATTTATTGTTTCTTAAAAACTGTAATCAGATTATTATATACGTCTGATGAAACGAGACCAAGAAATAATGGTATGTTCATTCTTAAGTTTAACTTTATTTATGAGTCTTCATCAACATTGTAATGCGAATTAGACAACTGAAAAGGAATATTCATTTTATTCGTGGCTTTTTCCGAAGGTAGGTAGAACGAGAAGAACAAGATTTATATGAGAAAATAAACTCATTATGTGTCAAGGCTTCTAATCAGCTACAAACGGCCTAAATTCAGATGAGGAATATTAATATTGCACGATGTGAACATCATAAAGGTGTTTCAAATAATGAACAAACAGCGAACTCCACTTTTACTCCACTTTTTGAGGTCACTATTATTAACGCATTGAACTCAATCTGTATATACAGAAATTGTAGCGAATATCTCATTGCCATAGTATGATAGTTATAATGTCAAACAGCTATCAATTACACTTTATTTATTATAGTACATATAACGCTGAATTTTCACTCACGGCGTTAACTTGAAATTTTGTGTCAACTAGGGGCCGTCATTTATTACCTTTTAACTATTTAATATAATTTCAATCACTTCTATGTAAGCTTGAAAATATAATTATCAATCAATCTTAACTCGTATGTTAAATATGCTGTCTTCAATGCTGATTTTTAATATTCTTTTGAGCTAAATTCCATTAATTACAGTATATAAAACCATACATAATTGCACTACTTGATGTAAACTGATTTATTAAAACAAATTTTCATTTAGGAGTGACTCATACATCAGGATTTCAATTTCAAATTACTCATATTTATGCATAATGATCAATTTGTGGAAAGTCATTTGTTTTTCTGCAATGAGATATATTTCCCAGAAAATTCTGAAGATGAGACAATCGTATTATTGATTCATCCAATAGTTTGCCTAGTTATATGCTGAACCAAACAGTTTTGTACAAGATGTAACAAAATAGCAGTATAGGTTTTAATTTATTATATAATTATACATAAGACTTTATTTGCTAAAATAGTCAAATGATAATTATGATTTCTCATCAACTTTTTCTTGAAAGTAGTTAGTTAAGTTTAAAGCGAACCTTAGCTGAAGAGGTTATTGCGAAATATTTTGTATCAAAACTCAAGCTTCCTTAAGTAAGTCAAATGCTCGACAATTAACTTCATGACATGTTTGCACAAAAAATTGGACCGATTATGATAACTCGTATTTATTTAAAAGAAATCCTAACTATTCAATAAAAATGCATTGCTAATTATAGAAAATGATTACAATTTTATGTGGATATTTCCGGTTTGTCTTGACAACAATCTAGAATTAAACATTACCAATCTGTATTTGTATCTGGATAAGTAGGGTATACCTGTAACTACAACTAACTATTGGTTTTTTCAAAATTTTCCCCAGTCGCCATGCTGAATGCAAATCATAAATGACTGTCATCAAAGGCACGATTACCATAGCTTTTCTTCCCATTTTTAGTTTCCTAAATATGTCTAATTATAACATATATAATAATAGGGATTTTCCTAGTATATAAATCAAGACTAGGTTCTAGTAGTATTAATTCAATAAAAAACTTATAAAATCTTACAATTAGTAAAAAGAAGTAACTACTTACCCAGCAAATGTAGTATACAGTATGACGATAATCACAGCCAATAGAAAACAAACACCTAATGTTACAAATATGATATTTAAAACTTTTCTTAATTTTGGCATTTGTAAATCTTCCAACTCTTCACTATTACCATCATCTTTAACGCGTTTATCTTCAAGAAAGCGAATCAATTTGTCTAATTTACTATTTTTTCGTGGTCTACGAAATCGTCTGCGTTTTTTGTCTTTTTCACCCTTTTCCGTTGTTTGCGATGAGTCAACAAATTCTGCATTATTATTGCTAATATTGTTATCAATGAGTGTATCATTCAATCGATTGTTTGTTGCTGACGCTTGACTACTGGATAATGCACCATTTATTCGTTTAGACTTAGCATCTTTATTATTATTATTATTGTTAGTAGTAGTTGTAGTAATCGTTGTAGTAATATTATCCGGTTGTGTTGGTACAAAATTATAATGTGACAAGTCTAATGTTCCAGTAGGTGAAGGAAATAATAAGGAATTGTTTTGGCCTCCTGGTTTTCCATTAACATGTTTCGCTCCAGGGGAATTATGATTCAATTCAGTTGATAGTTGATTTGTAGGATTTCGTTGACGCTGTGTATCACTGACACCAATTGTATTTTGTGAACGTTGATTGTTAGATGAAGCAGGTGTTGGACTCAACTGATGACCTTTATAAGAGGCTGGGATAAAAAATTGTGGCACTTTTTTATCACTCATTTCTGTATTCACAAATTCACGAATAGGAGATATTTCATTACATTCTTAAAATGTTTTCACGTTTTTATCATAATAATTGAAATTGTTGTAAGCATTCTTGCTAGTAATCAATGTAACTGAAAGTCATCAGTAATAAATTATTTAACATCTTTTCGTCAAACTCATATCTTTCAAACAGATTAAAATGGACAAATAAAAGTCATTCGTAACTATCGGCCTAACAATATAACCAATAGGAAGTCAGCTAGAATTATTTGCCTATATGATTGGATCAAGGCAAACAACTTGTTACCTGTAGCCATATCACTGAAATTGATTATTAGTGTTTTGTAGCTGACTTTGAAACTTTATATTCAGTTTTCAGTCTAGATGTAATATGTGTTTTGAAGAGTGGATAGTTTTAACATTCAACTATATACAAACTATCCCATTGTCTTTTCAAATTATATTAAGCTACAAAATGTTATTTATTCCATTTCATGATTCATCGCATTATTTAAATAAAAGGATACTAGATAACACAGCAAGAGAGTAACATTGAATCATTGTTTGTGGAAAAAACTTTCAATTAATAACGCTGCCTTTGTACAGAAATACTTCAAGAGTTAATATATCTTCAGTTAGATTATAGTTCTGAAATAAAAAAGCATATGAGGAAATATCTACTCATAACAATCAAAGTAGAATAACAGCCTATTTAGTTCTTTTCACTGTTGACTACTTTTTACTCTCAAAATCTCATAACATAATCTGGAACTAAATACTGGTTTTTTGTAGTCTGTCAGTCATTAAAGGATAAAGGCCAGAATTGTATAGAAGTATAGGATTAGAAATTATTTTTTGACATTATTGGATGATAACGAATAATGAGATAGAAAAAACGATTTTTATAGTTAAATACCATTTTTATGACAAGTTACTGTTCTCACCAGACCAAAATAAATGATCTGAAAATACACTACTGTTTTTTTTTTTAATTTTTAGTGAGATTGATTGAAAAGATGTAAATTTAGGTTATCAGTAAGCTAGTCACTCATTCATAACATTAGATGATCATCGTACCTAAAGTTAAAAAGTTAAAGCATTATATTTCAACCTAACAGTTTCATGATAATGTTTAATTAATTTACAAACGCTAAATTTTTGAACGATATAACATATAATATCGATTATATTCATTTCCATGATTGTGACTGACAAAGCTATTCGTTTTTCATATCTGTACGAAACCAAAGCAAATACATCGTAAGGAATGATTCAAATCAATGAAAAAGGCCTTGCGAAACTAAACAATCATTTTAGCCATTAATTTCAGAGATTAAAAATTCAGAAAAATATGAAGTTTTCACAAAATTAGATTTAAAATAATCTAATTTTTTTCTCTTTGAAATATCTTGTAAGATGTATATCAATTTAAGTCTCCATGTAATATATTCAAAAAAAAATTCATTAGTCTTAAAAAATTCACAGTCATTCATGTTTTAGTCTAATAATTTATATCAAAATAATCAATAACAAAATTAAATCAATACTGTAACAATACAGCGCAAGAAGAGTCAACGCAATTATAAAATGTTATGTGTTCACTGCAATAATCAATGAATAACGACTCATATAATCTCAAAAAAATGAACGAGACAAGTTATTCCGGTTTGAAAGTTATTCTTTTCAGACGTTATTTTATCTAAGAATGTTTTCTTTAAGTAATTTTGTTGTCAAACGGATTTATTTTAAAGTCTTAGATAGATTATGCATGGGTCGTAGTTTCTAACTTCATTGAGTTCGATTGCCTACATCTGAGCAACTGTTCGTTTGTTACTGAATTCTGTTAGAAACTAAATTTGAACCTTACGAATTGAGCATTCATTTGAAGTCATTAATACTATTAATAAATACGTATTAATTTCGTTCTTTTTCGTAATGGTAATTCTTTGGACGAAATTTTCTCGCCAGTTTAATTATAATGCATTCTTTTATTCGCTTATCCAACGTGCTTTGCAGAGTAAAAATACTAAATGTGTAGAAAAGATAGAGTCTAAGAGCTAATGAATAATACATATAAGTCATTTATATGTTTACTGAACTAGACTGCTCCAGTTGAATAAAGTGAGTAATTTATTTGTTCCTAATAAAATCATCACCTCTCCATTTTTACCCACCGTGTGATCTTGTGACAACATATGATTGTCGGACCTCGAAACTGAAAATGACCATTCCTGCCAAGCTCCCAACATCGTGGTTGGCCGATGAAAGTAGACTCACTGTCTTATAAGCTATTCTGATAGTAATAGGAGTAATGGAACATTTATACGCTGTAACTTTATTTTATAAGGGCCACATGTTTTCTAAATGAACAATGACTTTTCCAAGTTCTAACAGTAATGAAAATAGTAGATTGTTCATTAATAGTTAGAGGAGTTGGCTTTCAAATAACTGGTAGCTGGTCCAAGCTCACAGCCAAGTATATTAGCATGTACTTGGTAGATAATTAACATTAATGTTGAAAGTCTACCTCATTCTTGAATTTTAACTATAGCATTAATAGTCAGTTATTGGATGCGTATATTTTGTACATCATCACTTAGAAAAATTACTGATTTTCCGATGTTAACTGATCAAGTTTGCCTTGTATACGCATTTATTCCTATTCACAAGGTTAATTTTAGATCAAAGAGACCACTAACTTTTTAATAAAAATATGTTAGTTAATGAATGATTTTCTTCATTTACCTTTCGTTATAAGGTTTTGTCAGTTTATACAACTTGTGTGTATAACGAACGGGAGTCAAAACGCGTAAAATACTTGTGTACAAGGGTAGAAAAGAGTGGATTCTTTAAAATTTTCATTAAAGTAAACATAACTAGGTGTGGTATAATCTCATATTATTATATTTATTTTTAACATTTCATAAAATACAACTTTGTTATTTAGGTCGTTATACGAGTAAAATACTTAAGGCTTCAACGATCAAAGCATATTTAAGATATAATATGCGAAATTTGATGACTCAGATAAAATCCCAAAGGAATTAGTTTCGGGTAACTAATGCCATAATTCTATTTGCTAAAAATAATCGATTTTTACTGATCGTTTAACAACTAACTTAAATTAGGGTTTAAGCCTACCTCTAGGTTAACAGAGTGAATGTAGTTTATCACAGTTTTAAACATGAAAATGCAATCATCTAAACTCAACCACTTCATTGTACTTAAGTGATTGAAGAATGGAATCCAATAGTTAGTTCTAATTACTTAGATAGACCTGGTTTTGTACATCTAGGTAACTATTTCATACGATATTAAAGGTTTCTAATTATAAGAGTTGTTTCACATTAATTTCTCTCTCTTTGCCACTCATTCCAAACTGCTTTCAGGTAATAATCATAATCAAAGTTATTTGTAATCATCTAAGAATGATTTCGTTTAAAATATAAAATAAAAACAAAGATTTAAGAAGAATCACACTATGAATTCATTTAATTTCACTAGGTTCTCGTCAGTTGGTAAAATCCAAGTTTAAAAGTGAGTTGAAAACATTTACATTTGTCTGGCACGTAAACACTTTATTCTAATACTTTGGTTCTTTACTACAATCGGTGTCCCAGAATATTTATCCTCATGAGATATTTATTCGGAATTTTTAATCTAGCTCTTACTTTATTTGCATCCTCTTTCTCCTATACTGAGGTTTGTTGACAAAAGCTTCGAGGAGAGTCCATTAACAAAAACAATTTAAATTTGGATCTTGAAACAGTTTGAGTTGTAAAAAGTCTTTAAGTTGAAAAAATTATATCAATGTAACGTTGTCAACACACTGATCTTTTTCCTAATGTCTATGAGCCATTGAATATGAAATGCATTCCAGTTGTATCTTGCAATACCATATGCGTATCTGTTAATTATATATCTCACTCCGATTAATAGGATGAGATCAAAGTTCAGAAGTATGTTAGTCATTGTGCACGTCATTTTTATTCACTAAATTGATAAATAACGAAAATAAGCTTTGTCGGAATATGTACTAATGGAGAATACAAATATCTGTATATGTGAAAATATTATTCACTTATATACTTGCGCCTGTTACCCTCAATGGAGCATAGGCCGCCGACCAGTATTCTCCAACCTACCCAGTCCTGGGCCTCCTTTTCTCGTTCTGTCCAATTTTCGTTCATTCGCCTCATACCAGTCTCCATTTCTCGGAGTAAAGTGTCTTTTAATCTTCTTCTTTTCACAGTCAGGGCTTGTCATATGACGCGGTTGGGTGCTTTCTTCAATGTACCTCCTATCCAATTCCACCGCTTCTTCCTGGTTTCCTCCTCCAATGGAACCTGGTTTGTTCTATCCCACAGTAGGTTGTTGCTGATGGAGTCTGGCCAACGGATCTGAAGTATTTCGCGTAGACAGTTGTTAATAAATACTCGTATCTTCTGGATGATAGCTTTCGTAGTTCTCCAAGTTTCCGCCATACACTGTAGAACTGTCTAGACATTTTTTTTAAAATTCTGACTTTGGTGTTTTTTGATAGTTTGTTTGAGTTCTAGATGTTGTTCAATTATAAAAATGCTACCCTCGCTTCACTGATCCGCCCCTTCATCAGATCCACCTTTCTCGTCGATGATACTGCCTTGATATGTAAAGATTTTTACGTCCTCCCAGGCATCTCCATCAAAAGTGAGTTGGTTGGCGCATGTTGCCTTATATCACAGAATCTTGATTTTCCCTTCATGCATGTAAAAACCTGTTGCTGCTGAGGCTTCTGCTCCAATGGTCGTCTTCTCTTGCATTTGTTGTTGCGTGTGCGATAGAAGAGCCAGATCACCTGTTCAGTCTAGATCATCTAGCTGAAAATATAGAATCGTAAATGATTTAAGTGACCTTCAACAAATACATGTACACATTAAGTAGATGTTGTTTGTTTATGAAAACAAAATCAGTGACTCAGAAAATGAGTTCTAATCATTTATAGAGAGTATTTCTCGATTAGTTTTTGACAAAAATCTTGAAAAATTAGACTGTCTCCAAAGCATAAACCGAATGTTTTTCTTCTATAAATTAGATTTAAAATACGTCCTAGTGTAATGGTATATGAAACAAAAGACTATGTATTAATGCAAAAAG